TCATAGGCTATTCTTTTAGTTATGGGCATGGTCATTTGAGCATAATGGTAATAATAATAGATTCATTGGACAAATTGAGTGACAATGAATAAGACTTGTCAAAGCACAACACAATAGTCATACCGCAAATAACATAAATACATACTCTTGATGTCAGTAATCTAGAGATTTAATGGTTGAGATCCACGAATTATTATGACAACATAGTAATCGGCCCATACACAGATATCATCTAGTGTCTATATATGTTTCTAGAATCATCCTGCGCTTTCTATGGATTACCAAACGCGCGAAAACATGTCCACAGTTTGATAACGCGGTCATGGGACATGAGAATCAGGTGACGGAGAACCACCAAGAGGCAGGAAGTCAGGGTGAAACGAAAAGTGTCGCTCTTTCACGGTTGTCACTAGATACCACAGTCGAAACAGTCTAGGCTATATCATAAAAAATCATGAAAACAAAAATGTGCTTTTTGGTCTTAATTCAAGGTTAGGGTTGGACATACATTTCAATATATTCACATTCATAGGCTATTCTTAAAGTTATGGGCATGGTCATTTGAGCATAATGGTAATTATGATAGATTCATTGGACAAATTGAGTGACAATGAATAAGACTTGTCAAAGCACAACCCAAGTCATACCACAAATAACATAAATGAACAGTCGGCCCATAAACAGATTTGATCTAGGGTCTATATCTGTTTCTAGAAGCATCCTGCGCTTTCTATGGATTACCAAACGCGCGAAAAAAATGTCCACAGTTTGATAACGCGGTCATAGGACATGAGAATCAGGTGACGGAGCACCACCAAGAGGCAGGAAGTGAGGGTGAAACGAAAAGTGTTGCTCTTTCACGGTTGCCACTAGTTACCACAGTCGAAACAGTCTAGGCTATATCATAAATATTCATGAAAACAAAAATGTGTTTTTTGGTCTTAATTCAAGGTTAGACATAAGTTTAGGTTTAAATGAGATTTTAAGAAGAAAATTGTATAAATGGGCGGGGTTTAGCCATAACTAAAACGTTGTGTCTGTGGTAACTAGTAAGGACTATCTTTTTAATTATGCCTAAACCAAGTCTATTTCTACAATGTATCTTCTTAAAATACGATTTTAAACCTTAACCACACTGCTAACCTTATGCCTAACCCTCACCTTAAATGAAGACCGAAAAGCACATTTTTGTTTTCATTAATTTATACAATTTTGACTTTGTGGCTATGATAATTAGTGACAACCCCTCTGGCCAGTAGGCTAGTAGTGCGTGCGTGCACCCCACCATTTATGCTCAGATGACAATTACTCACCATAGTCGTAAAATAACCATGAAAATGGATATATCATCATCAGCAGCAGCAACATCATGATCATCATCTTCATCATCTAGTTCAATCATAGAACTTTGCAACATTTCAATATATTCACATTCATAGGCAATTCTTCTAGTTATGGGCATGGTCATTTGAGCATAATGGTAATAATGATAGATTCGTTGGACAACTTGAGTGACAATGAGTAAGACTTGTCAAAGCACAACACAAATCATACCACAAATAACATAAATGAACAGTCTAGATGTCAGTAATGCAGAGACTTAATGGTTGAGATCCACGAATTATTATGACAACATAGCCATTGGCCCATAAACAGATTTGATCTAGTGTCTAAATCTGTTTCTAGAAGCATCCTGCGCTTTCTACGGATTACCAAACGATCAAAAAAAAAATCCACAATTTGATAACGCGGTCATCGGACATGAGAATCAGGTGACGGAGCATCACCAAGAAGCAGGAAGTGAGGGTGACACGAAAAGTGTCTCTCTTTCACGGTTGTCACTAGTTACCACAGCCACAAAGTCAAAACTGTCAAGGCTATATCGTAAAGTATAATGAAAACAGGTTAGGCATAAGATTAGGGTTAAAATTAGATTTTAAGAAGATAGATTGTATAAATGGGCGTGGTTTATCCATAATTACAACTTTGTGGCTGTGGTAACTAGTAAATACCATATTTTTAATTATGGCTAAACCCCGTCGATTTCTACAATTTATCTTCTGAAAATATGATTTAAAACCTAACCCTAACATTAATCATACCGCTAACCTTTGCCTAACCTTCACTTTAAATTAAGACCAAAAAGCACACAAAAAAATGACTTTGTGGCTGTGGTCATTTCACCCAGCACACGAGACACGCCACTTTGGTTGAATATGTTCTGAGCAATAAAGTGCATTGAAAAATTGCCTGATGCAACATATCACCTCGAAGGTGTAATGATCTATGATCATAGGCCTATATTTGATCATTTTCCTATTGGCTGGGCTATACTGCACAATGATGAATAGGCCTACATAAACCAATATAATTGTGTGTAGCCTAGCTGCTTTTGGTAGATGTATTGAAAATAATAGTGATATATTATCCTATTAAACGTATATTATCTCATGTCTTGGTTTAATAATACTGCTAGTCAAAGTAGGCCAAATCAACGAACTTATTCTAAACACAACACAAGTCTAGGGCACATAGCTTTATAAGTAGGGCACAGTCATGGACTTTTTATTAGCCCAACTGCATATGAATTTACAATTTGGCTACATGCCTACAGTAATCTGGCTCTAGCTCTCTCACTTAAGCCAAATATATTCCTCACAATTTTATATGACTAAATAACAATAGAATTGGTCCAGGCTATGGGAATCCAATATGGACTATTTTGACAGACTAAATCAAGACAGACTATAAATATCCGTAAACCCCCTCTTCAAATATCAAGTAGTAATCGAGGTCAATATGTTGAAAGTCCCGGCACAGATCCTCTACAAGTCTAATTAAATTATGGTCCGATGACGCTGATCTCACTCTGCAACATGGTCTCATAGCATTTTGTATTATTCTGTAAGTAAATCCGGGAACCTCTTTTAGTATGATATGTTACGTTTCGTTTGGTATGTATTAATTTGTGGATGTCCATCATCCATTTCATATGATATGTTACGAATTACAATTCATACGAAATGTTATGAATTACAATTCTTACAATATGTTATAAATTGAAATTCATACAATACGTTACGAATTTGCAAATTTACAATATGTTACGAATTTGAATAACATATGATATGTTACGAATTCCAATTTGTTGTCCCTAACGTTAGCTAGGTGGCTAACTCTAGCTAGCACTAGGGGTTTGGGGTAAATGTTAGGAGTTAAGTTAAAGGGTTAAGGTTAGGGGAAGGGTTAGCTAAAAGGGTTAGTGTTAGGGTTCAAGTTAGGGGAAGGGTTAGCTAACATGCTCAGTAGTTGTCAAGTAGCAAAAAAGTAGTAAGTAGTTGCTAATGAGCTAAAATTGTCCTTGATGGGATTCGAACACCCAACCTTTGGGTTGCTAGAAGTTCCCGTTATACAACCAACCACCCACTCTGTTTCTCAAATGACTGCCTCGCCTGGTTCACCAACTACTTCTCAGATAGAGTTCAATGTGTCAAATCAGAGGGCCTGTTGTCTGGACCTATGGCAGTCTCTATGGGGGTGCCACAGGGTTCAATTCTTGGGCTGACTCTTTTCTCCGTGTATATCAATGATGTCGCTCTTGCTGCTGGTGACTCTCAGATCCACCTCTACGCAGACGACACCATTTTGTATACATCTGGCCCTTCATTTGGACACTGTGTTAACAAACCTCCAAACGAGCTTCAATGCCATACAACACTCCTTCAGTAGCCTCCAACTGCTCTTAAACATTAGTAAAACTAAATGCATGCTCTTCAATCGAACGCTGCTGGCACCCGCCCACCCGACTAGAATCACTACTCTCGACGGGTCTGACCTAGAGTATGTGGACAACTACAAATACCTAGGTGTCTGGTTAGACTGTAAACTCTCCTTCCAGACTCACATTAAGAATCTCCAATCCAAAGTTAAATCTAGAATCGGCTTCCTATTTCGCAACAAAGCCTCCTTCACTCATGCTGCCAAACATGCCCTCGTAAAACGGACTATCCTACCAATCCTTGACCTCTGCGAAGTCATTTACAAAATAGCCTCCAACACTCTACTCAGCAAATTGGATGTTGTTTATCACAGTGCCATCCGTTTTGTCACCAAAGCCCCATTTACTACCCACCACTGTGACCTGTAAGCTCTTGTTGGCTGGTCCTCACTACATATTCGTCGCCAAACCCACTGGCTCCAGGCCATCTATAAATCACTGCTAGGCAAATCCCCGCCTTATTTTAGCACATTGGTCACCATAGCAACACCCACCCGTAGTATGCGCTCCAGCAGGTATATCTCACTAGTCATCCCCAAAGCCAACACCTCCTTTGGCCGCCATTTCTTCCAGTTCTCTGCTGCCAATGACTGGAACGAATTGTAAAAATCTCTGAAGCTGGAGACTCTTATCTCCCTCACTAACTTTAAACATCAGTTGTCAGAGCACCTTACCGATCACTGCACCTGTACACAGCCCATCTGAAATTAGCCCACCCAACTACCTCATCCCCATATTGTTATTTATTTTGCTCATTTGCACCCCAGTATCTCTATTTGCACATCATCTCTTGCACATCTATCATTCCAGTGTTAATACTAATTGTAATTATTTTGCACTATAGCCTATTTATTGCCTTACCTCCATAACTTGCTACATTTGCACACACTGTATATATATTTTATGTTGTATTTTTGACTTTATGTTTTGTTTTACCCCATATGTAACTCTGTGTTGATGTTTTTATCGCACTGCTTTGCTTTATCTTGGCCAGGTCGCAGTTGTAAATGAGAACTTGTTCTCAACTGGCTTACCTGGTGAAATAAAGGTGAAATAAAAATAAATAAATAAACTCTATCTTATGTAAATATATCAAATGTAACATATCATAGCAATTAGAGTATCCCAGATGTACATTTACTATGTTACGTCTAGTCTATGAGAACAATATGCACGCGGGGAATTCCCGTATGGAAAGTGCCTTGTCATACCTCCGCCTTCCATTTTACACTTTGGCGTCCGCGTCCCACCCATTTGTTTACATTACCTTGTCTTTTGAGCACAATAACAGAAGGAGCAGAGAGCTTTGTCATTTAGGACAGTGGACTTCCCCCCGAAGCCGCGCCAAACCCTCGTGATTGGCTAGACCGATGCATAAATATTACACAAGACGTCGCCATTAGGTTTATAGGCGGAACTGTACTCAGAAAAGCAAGACGCACTGACAGCTAGCTATCTTACAGTGGAGCGGGCCTTTAACATTTTAACTGCGCCACAAATATTTTAGAGCGAAAATTGGCCTGAAAGTAAGTCGTGAGAAGACTCGACCATGTCTATGACCGTGAAAGCCTATCTCCTTGGGAAGGAACACATACCGAAAGAAATTCGTCGCTTTGCTGTCGACCAAGATGTTTCAACGAGTTTTGAGTATCTGAATCGAAAGGTTGTTGATGTTTTCTCAACACTGCGAAATGTCCCTTACCAAATGTTTTACAAAGGTAAGCCTATACTGTCAGTGTTTCATTATAGGCCTATGTTGCTGTGTTTTCGATGGTGTTATTGTCATAAATATTCCTGGTGGTAATTTTGCTGTAATATTCCATAACATCGCGCCCGACAACGTAATGCACTATTACAGTAAAGTTAGTGCGCACTTTACTACGTAGCCTACTTGAGTAGGCCTATAAACTGATTCATGTCGAGTCATAGGCCTAGACTAAAGTGCGTCAAGAAGTTGATAAGTGAAATAAGCAGCTGACTGAAAGCTTCAATAACAGGAGTGAGCTTGACCAATACCATAATAGATCTCAAGATGACAATTTGTCTTTATGCACCATGTTCCACTAGATAAATCCGATAGAGCTGGTACACAGGTCATTATTAAAGTCTACATTTGACATTGCATTTCATAGTGAATGTCAGATAGAAATAGAAATAGAGTGAGCAGCAAATAGGCCCTATTTCATGTATGTCATGCAATGATGTAGATATATATAAAAAATAATCCGTTACCAATTATAGTCTTCAATAGCCTGTACCTGTTCTACTACATTTCTCCGAGCTCGCCCTACCTGTAGGCAGTGGCGGCTCCTGAAAAAATTCTCAGGAGGGGCAATTTTTCTGATGATTTAGGTGACCTACACACATTTAAAAAAATATATGTCCAGCAACAACATGAAGACAGGGGCAGCATATAAGTCAATACCAGAAGCATTTATTGACTGATCTCAAAAGTGTTGGCTTACCAGGGTTGGTGGAGCCCTCAGTTTCATCTTTGCCTCGCAAAGCTAACTCAAACACTCCGCAAAACTTCACACACTGGATTAGCCGGCTGAGGATGTGGCGGTTCTTGCTAATGTCGTAGTAAATATATTTGTTATAGTGAATATGGAATATGATATGTTGAGTAAAATGTTGTGCTAAGATCTATTTAGGTCAGGAGCTGGTTATAAGTTCTGTTCCTATCCAATAACAATGGACAAAAGGGTCCTATCTTGTCAGCCTTGTCAGCAGGTGGCCAAGGACAACACCCACGCCATAGGCCTCTCAGTTCTTCCAACTCACGAGTTCTTGCTCTGAGGACACACACACACACAAACACACACACACACACATCATCACTGTTAAACACACACACACACACACACATCATCACTGTTAAACACACACACACACACACACACACACACAAAAATCCCCTCTCTTAGGCTGAACATTTGAAGACAGAGAACCCGACTCAGAGCCAATGCAACAGTGACAGTAGCCTGCAGGGGACCTCGCCCAACTCATCAGGACCAATCAGAAGATCAGAACTACTAGATTGAACCTACTTCATTTATTGCATAAAATGTCTGCACACAATGTTTCGGGGCTCTCTTCAGATAATAATAATAATAATAATAATAATATGCCATTTAGCAGACGCTTTTATCCAAAGCGACTTACAGTCATGCGTGCATACATTTTTGTGTATGGGTGGTCCCGGGGATCGAACCCACTCCCTTGGCGTTACAAGCACCATGCTCTACCAGCTGAGCTACAGAAAGTGGATACTCATGGATGCGCATTGCAATTGTAAAATGTCAACACAATTGGAGACACCACGTCATTTTTGGAGACATGTTATTGACAGTAAACTATTGTAGATGCGACTGCTAACTAAATAAAACATTTTAGCTGGCTAGCTAATCATCTTAGCTAAATGTGGGGCAAACAATTCAGTTATTTACCGTTAATTTGAGGGATTGGGGTGAAAGAAATCGAGTTACATAGTGATACTTTACGATATACTGTATTGACAATATCGCAATATTTTAGCGCTAGTTGGCTGTACCTGCACCAAAACACCATTATTGTTCCTTCATAGCTTGTTCTCAATCTTTTCACATTGGGAGCAAATTTGTTTTCAGCACTTTTATTTCCATGACTGATCAAAACTCGTTCTCATGGCTTTCTGATCCCTCTGCAACAGACATATGGTGCGCAATAAAATCACAGTATCGAATCGCAATACGTATAGAATCATGAGACTCGCAATGCTGATGCATATATCTTATCGTGAGGTTCCTGGCAATTCCCAGCCCAAGTTCATTTGCCACAACAAATCTCTTCGCTAGCAAACGCGATGTCTTCTCCAAAACGGCAATGTGTCTCCAGCAATGTTTACTTTTTTGACGTTCTATGGCATCTCCACTTTCCAAGCATATATGACCACATGTAATATTTTGGTAAGTGATGCAAATAGTGAACTATGTAGGGCCAGGATGTAAAATATATGTAGCTGCAGCAATTTCTCTTATCTGATATGGTAAGTAATGGGGCTTAATTTATAGCTCCCTAAGAGTTTGACGAACGGGTCCGTGAACGCGATTCCAGATATATTTACCTCTGAATAAACTGCCTTTATTACACCATATCCACATCCAGTAAACTTGTGATTATCAACACTAACCTCATCGTTGTGGCGGCGGACAGCTAGCCTGTATCCCTCGTCATCCAGTTGAGTGAGTGGCAATGTCTTTTTTCGTTCGTACCAATTTTTGGAAAATCCTCGGGTGTAGGACTTTCCGCCTTTAGTAGAAACCTGTTGAATTATTAAATTTGGTCTGGGAGGTCCTAATTGTTTCGTTGCCAATTTATCTTCATTTGTTCGCCGAATCGCCGACAAAAAGGAACTTCTTTCAAACAATCCACTCTTTTCTCAGTTACGTTCATGGTTACGTAACGTATGACGTAAGTGCAAGCCCACAGACACCCATTGAGATTGTATTGAAGGCTCTGAAATTTGAAAAAAATAGATTTTACATGGGAGTCTATGACAGAAGTTCTGGGCGATTTTCAACCTGACTGAAATCGCCCCAAAAGGGGGGGGAGCCATTTGAAGCACGACTTTAGCCTGATTCGACATTTAGTGGCAGTGTGGCACTGTGGCAGATCAGACGTATAGATTACAACACTGATAACTACTGTTGCCGTGATATAATTGATTAGAAAAAAAATCCCTTCCTTTTCCCGTTTGGCAGTGCGTCGCCCATATCGCCCTATTGAACAGGCCGCCCCTGCCTGTAGGCCTACCATCTGTTCATAGTGGACAAAATATCCCATAGATATGGGTCTCTTGTGGTAACTTAGCAACATGGCATTAACACAGAAGAAAAAAAAAAAAAATACAATTCTGTAAGAGCGCTCCTCCCAATAAGCTTACTTAACCCAAGTAGGGTATCAAAGTTGACCTATTTCATACAGTAGTATTATTGACTGGTACCACATCACAAAATTGATGTTTTCCATATTGGGCATCAAGGTTGGGGTCAATTCCATTCCAACAGTCAAACCAGGAAGTTAATTATTTTTCAATATTGAAAAAATTGGGGATTTTCAATAACTGAACTGGAAATCGACAATCGTGTTGGTCTGAGCACAACACATTTGTAACAAAAATATTCCCTTAACTAACCTTTGTTTCAAATAAAAAAAGCCACTGAGGATAAGCTGTGGACAGATGTCCTTACTAGTGAACTCTCACTGCTATTATCTAATAATCTGTTCTAGATAAGGAGCTGACAGCAAACAATGGCTTGTGAAACAAGTGAGGAGATCAGTGTGACAATGTATTGTCTTTTTTGTTTACCATGTACCCAGACGAGGACGATGACATGATCGCCTTCTCCACCGACGATGAGCTCATCATGGGCCTCACCTGCATCAAGGATGACACCTTCCGCCTCTTCATCAAGGGTGAATCTTTTGTGATCAGATGGTGCATTTTGAAATATAATATATAAAGATGAATCAATCTGGTATTAATGTGTAATGCATTGTCATCATTACCACTATTATAATGACATAGCATTCTCATTGTTACAGACACATTGTAGTTATTAATACCTACCCGCATATCCTTTTTTTCTTTCCCTTACAGAGAAGAAGGAGCACAGGCGCGAGTTCCCTGCTTTTGCCTTCCCGGGCGGTGTCCCTCCTTTCACCTTCCCCCCTCACCCTGGAGCGCCCCATATGGGACCTCCTCCACCCCATGGCCCACCACCCCATGGTCACGGCCCCTACGGGTCCCCCATTGTGCACCCCAACGTTACCTGTGATGAATGCGAGGGCCCGGTGACGGGGACCCGTTTCAAGTGCACCGTGTGCCCCAACTACGACCTATGCTCCCCGTGCCAGGCCAAGGGGCTCCACAAAGAGCACGTCCTCCTGCCCATCTGGCATCCCTTCAACAACACATTCGAGGTGAGACACATATGTTTTAATAGGTTTGTCTTGTTTTAAGGTGGATATACTTGCATATACACATATCTGAGCAATTTAAAACATCACTGAAAGTGTTTTATTAGTCCAGAAACAAAAACGGGACTATCTATGTGTGGTTAGGGAGAGAAAAATTGCCTCTATAGTTTGATCTTGTTCTTCTACACAGTGGTTCCCTCGTGGGAAGTGGATGCGGAAGATGAGGCACTGCATGTGGGCTCAGGCCCAAAGCCAGGCCCAGCCTGGTCCCTCTGTGTCCCAGCCAGGCCAGGCGGCCCCCGAGGACAGTCAGCCCTCCTCTGATGCCTCATCTGCTTCCTCCCAGCAGTCCCAGGCCAATATGGATTACCTGAAGAACATTGGAGAAGGGGTGGCAGCCATGCTTAGCCCACTGGGTAAGACCAAGCGAAAAGTGCCATATAATAATTTCATCATTATTATCAATCCATTGTTTGAAATATACTGACTACTCTAAATTTGAATGCACTGAAATTGCTTACTTACCTCTCCATGTTGCCTGCAGGTATCGATGTGGATATTGACGTGGAGCACGAGGGGAAGAGGACCAAGGTGATGACCCCCAACCCGACCCCACCTGGGTCAGGAGGCTACCCCAGTGCTATGAGTGACAACGGGACAGGGGGGTCCGAGGGAGCAGGGGCTAAAGAGGGAGACATGGAGGTGGACGAGCTGAGCAGCCTGGGGAGCGCCAGTGGTTTGGCTAAGGTATGACACGCACTGCTTTTATAGCTTAGTTATTTGATAATCAAAGTATACTTTATTATCAGACTAAAAAGTCAATGTTTCATTCTAATGAATGATAATTAATCACAAGTAATGGGGAAGAATAAAATGGCATCTCTCCGAGATGGTATGTGTTGTTAAATTATGTATCTCTCTCTGTGCAGGGTGGTGACGAGGAATGGACTCACCTGACCTCCAAGGAGGTGGACCCCTCTACAGGAGAGCTCCAGTCTCTCAGGGTGGGCGAGGAGGACTCACTGGAAGCCCTAGGGTCCATCACCCCTCCCCAGGGTCCCTCACAGGAACCACAGAAGTCCCTCACTCTCGCTGAGGCCGCAGCCTACCCCCACTTGCCTCAAGGTACGATACAGTTTGAGAATTCTCATATCCTCCATCACTAGTATTGTGGTGATTGCTTATCCTCCTTGCTAGTAGTAACCACTTCAGTCAGTGGTAGTTATAGCCCTCATCACTAGCGGTAGTTGTGACTTCAGTTAGTGGTAGTTATATCCCCAGTTAGTGATGGGCATCATAGTCGTTACTTTAGCTCGTGGTTCTTATATCCCAGATTTACTACTAGTACAGTAGTAGTGACTAGTAGAAGTTACTTACATCAGAGATTGACCTTCCACTGTGTCCAGATGCAGACCCACGCCTGGTGGAGTCCCTGTCCCAGATGCTGTCCATGGGCTTCACAGACGAGGGTGGCTGGCTCACCCGTCTCCTCCACACCAAGGACTGCGACGTCGGGGCCGCCCTGGACACCATCCACTACTCCAAACCCCCCCAGAAGTAAAGGGGCCGAAACACAGAACCCTGAGGCACACCACTCTTACATCCCCCAATCATAGCCACGTCACCAATACTGCCTTCTCTTCTGTCCCTCTAATCTAATTCACATTCTCTGGCAATTTAGTAGCTCAAGCAATAAGTCTATTAGATCTGAATATGTAATGGTGAAAATCTCTTGCTATTTTAAGATATATCTATCGTACTGACAATTAAGTATAAAGGATTTACTAGTCAGGTATTTATCTTAATGATAATTATGACAATGTTTCTATAACCTTTAACTCTTAAATGTGGTGTTGTTTAACTAAGCGTTAACAGATACATGGGTTCATTTGAAATTGGATTGAAAAAAGCAGTACAAATGTTAACCAACATAGTATCATAGAATATTAACTCAAGAGCAAGTACCATGCAAGTTGCCGATTAATCAAGTAACGGTTCTTACTTATCATTTAGTGTTATTATTGCCAGACAAATAAATGGTGTCGTGTTCATTATCAGTGTCAACAGAATCAGGTGAAGGGTGTGAATCACTGAAAACATTTCTCCCCTGTCGAGACTAAATAAAATACTTCTGCAAAGAAACTGTATTGTCATTGGATTTTCATACTGTCTCATTAAATACATAGTTTAATCATTTGATCTTTATTGCAACCATTAACTATTAGACAAAATCCAGAGATTAATTAGTTGAAAATCTTCATTACAAAACATTCAAACTTGTTTACAGAGTAGACTACTAGGCCACTTAGTATTTAGATGTACTTCTGCATTTACAAAAAAAAAAAAGCAACCATTACATGACTTTTAAAATGTGTCATCAAAGTCGTCATCCGTGTAGAACAGGGTCACCAGAGAGAGGTCGGGGCATGGGCGCTTGGTGGGCGGGGGCTGATGACAGACTGGTGCTTCGCTCACAGGTAATGCCATATGGGCAGGACCTCCTTCGCTATTGGCTGCCTCCCCAAATCCACAATGAGTGATAGTTGACTTCAGCCTATCAAATGTCTTCCCTGTGCTCTGCCCCAGAAAACCACTATCCCCACCCAATATGGAAATACCACTACAGCCCAGTTGTCCTATAGGGGCTTTTGTATAGTTCTGGTGTTTGAGCACCACATTTGAGAACATTGAACCAGTGGTTTGGAACTCATCCATCTGCATTGTACTCCCACTCCAGTTGGTCTCATCTTCCTCAGGAGGGGCAGAAGTTAGAAACTGGGCCCATTTGGAGGTCTGTGACACCGCAGTACCCGAGGATCCAGAAGGTTGTGAGGTCCTCGCTGTATTGGCTCTGTAGGGGGCTGAGGTTGAAGAGGGTTTGCTGCTGGTAGTTGAGGGTGGTTCAATTACAGTAGGGGGTTTGCTGTAAGCTGGGACTGGTGGTCTGCAGGGAGCTGACTGTTTGGGAGACCATTGTACAGACGCCAATGAGCTGGGGTGTCTGTTGTGTTGTGGCGGCTGTGGTAAAAAGCGAACCAGAGGAAGCATATTAGTACATACAAGGAACAGACTGCTTGGACATGTGCTAGTATGAATTAGCATTAGCTGCTTACATTAGCCGACTTCCCTTTCATCCTCCAGCCTTGTGTAGGAGGCATGGTGTCCTCTTCTCCACTGTGATATCCACTCCCCTCATTCTCTCCTCTACCTCGCTTCCTCTTTCTGTTGGGCCACATTAATAATCCATGCTGTCACAAATACCTATGCTCAGTCTAAACAGAGATGCTGTGGTATAGAGAAGGGTTAGAAGGTTTTTTACAGAAAATAAACAATCACATTAAAGTGGACTGAATAGTCAACTTCAACAATGATAAGTGGTGCAGTTGATTACTCAGGTATGGTTTTGGATCAGTGTTTAGAATGGTGGCCAATTGATCGTCTGATGACACAGGTGTGACATGTAGGCCACTGTTTAGGCACAAACATAACACAATAATTAGCCTGCATGAGTCATGGGCATACCTGACATGTATGTTGCCTTGGAGATGCTTTCTGTCCATGTAAACATTCTCCTCTTCCTCAGCCTCTTCTTGGCCCGCCCCTTCATCGCTCGTCTGCAGGTATTTACTCCAGCGACTCCCATTAGCCTCTTCTGCCTACAGAAATACAATTATTCATTTACCGGTAGTTTGAATGGTAAACAATGTTGTTTTCTTATGATATTCAATGGACAACATGAGTTATTGGTTAGGGCTGCTGCCCTAAACTAAGTATGGGAATGCAAGGCATGTTCAGTTTGTACCCGACTGCCTGTGCCTACATTCAATTGACTGTCAAATACATGTGTGTGTGTCCAAAACAAGTGATGAGCAGTAACAATGGTGTGAACTCACATTCTGGTCACAACACTCCTGAGCTTTGTCTACCACCTCTTCTTCAGCCACATCGTCCACCTCCTCCCTATCACAAAGAATAAAGAAAGAGACATAGCATGATATAGTTCATTTAGGCACACATTTTACATCTCACCTGGAAATTAAGCTAGGGGAAAGTGACATATGTGAATCCAAGTCTTCTCACACCACACAACACCCAAACAGGCTTGAGTGCATAAAGATAAATACATTCCACAGTAATATTATTTAGACTGCCATTTCTGCCTTGGCCTATTTAAATTCAGTAATGCAAATCATAGGAAATGGAATGCTCGGTACTCTGCTTGCTTCCTGGCAGGGTGGAGTAGACAGTGGTGAGAGTGACATTTAAATAACAGTAGCGTTACCATCGTGACCAGGCTTTCTGGTCCTGCTCTTCAAGTATCTCTCCACGCCTGGCATTGAGCTTCTGAACATGACGTCTGCAATCCACTCCAGAGCCACGCCCAAACACCTAGAAAGGTTACACAACAAACACATTGGCCATGTTCGAGAGCATCAAAACCGTGAATTATCATGGGTAAATTGTGACTGACTGACTTACAAATAATAATTAGTCATTATTTATATATCAGTCTGTCGGCTGCGATATCGAACAACCCATTATTATTATTTTTTGTTTACAAATACTTTACTTGTTTGTCAAATGTGTGGTTCGAACAAATCATTAGCTGTCTTACCTTGATGACCGACTGCTTTTCCCCACACAGCTTGCAGTTCCATTTTTTGCTCTTTTTAACCTGCAATCAAGCGAGCAAATATTATGTTTACACATGCAACGCAAGTTTGAAGATAGCTAGCTAAGTTAACAGGTTAGCAACATTGCTAACTAGAATGTTTACTCCTTCTACAACTAGCAAACTTAAGTTACCTGTTGCACTTGGTAGGTTTGGCAAGAACAGCATCTTAAGACATGAAACTCCTGAACCATGTTCCTTGTTTTAGTTGTAGTAGCTAACTAAAAACGATTAGTTTGAGATGCTATTTTCCCGGGATTGTTTTTGAAAAACGATCGAATGCGGAAACAGGAAACGTGACGTCATGCGTCAGCTACCACAGAAGCGGAAGACAATCAAATATCTTGAGCGCCCTCAGCCGTTGGCTAAGTGCAGAGTAATTCAATGGGCTCAAGCATGAAGATACAGTACTACAGTGAGGGGGAAAAGTATTTGATCCCCTGCTGATTTTGTACGTTTGCCCACTGACAAAGAACTGATCAGTCTATAATTTTAATGGTAGGTTTATTTGAACAGTGAGAGACAGAATAACAACAAAAAAATCCAGAAAAACGCATGTCAAAAATGTTATAAATTGATTTGCATTTTAATAATAATAATATTTTAATGAGGGAAATAAGTATTTGACCCCCTCTCAATCAGAAAGATTTCTGGCTCCCAGGTGTCTTTTATACAGGTAACGAACTGAGATTAGGAGCACACTCTTAAAGGGAGTGCTCCTAATCTCAGCTTGTTACCTGTATAATAATTAGTCATGTAACAGACGCTCTTATCTAGAGTGACTTACAGGAGCAATTAGGGTTAAGTGCCTTGCTCAAGGGCACAGACAGATTTTTTTCACCTAGTCGGCTCGGGGATTAGAACCAGCAACCTTTTGGTTACTGGCACAACGCTCTTAACCACTAAGCTACCTGTCCACAGAAGCAATCAATCAGATTCCAAACTCTCCACCATGGCCAAGACCAAAGAGCTCTCCAAGGATGTCAGGGACAAGATTGTAGACCTACACAAGGCTGGAATGGGCTACAAGACCATCGCCAAGCAGCTTGGTGAGAAGGTGACAACAGTTGGTGTGATTATTCGCAAATGGAAGAAACACAAAATAACTGTCAATCTCCCTCGGCCTGGGGCTCCATGCAAGATCTGATCTCGTGGAGTTGCAATGATCATGAGAACAGTGAGGAATCAGCCCAGAACTACACGGGAGGATCTTGTCAATGATCTCAAGGCAGCTGGGACCATAGTCACCAAGAAAACAATTGGTAACACACTATGCCGTGAAGGACTGAAATCCTGCAGCGCCCGCAAGGTCCCCCTGCTCAAGAAAGCACATATACATGCTCATCTGAAGTTTGCCAATTAACATCTGAATGATTCAGAGGAGAACTGGGTGAAAGTGTTGTGGTCAGATGAGACCAAAATGGTGCTATTTGGCATCAACACAACTCGCCGTGTTTGGAGGAGGAGGAATGCTGCCTATGACCCCAAGAACACCATCCCCACCGTCAAACATGGAGGTGGAAACATTATGCTTTGGGGGTGTTTTTCTGCTAAGGGGACAGGACAACTTCACTGCATCAAAGGGACGATGGACGGGGCCATGTACCGTCAAATCTTGGGTGAGAACCTCCTTCCCTCAGCCAGGGCATTGAAAATGGGTCGTGGATGGGTATTCCAGCATGACAATGACCCAAAACACACAGCCAAGGCAACAAAGGAGTGGCTCAAGAAGAAGCACATTAAGGTCCTGGAGTGGCCTAGCCAGTCTCCAGACCTTAATCCCATAGAAAATCTGTGGAGGGAGCTGAAGGTTTGAGTTGCTAAACGTCAGCCTCGAAACCTTAATGACTTGGAGAAGATCTGCAAAGAGGAGTGGAATAAAATCCCTCCTGAGATGTGTGCAAACCTGGTGGCCAACTACAAGAAACGTCTGACCTCTGTGATTGCCAACAAGGGTTTTGCCACCAAGTACTAAGTCATGTTTTGCAGAGGGGTCAAATACTTATTTCCCTCATTAAAATGCAAATCAATTTGTAACATTTTTGACATGTGTTTTTGTTGTTATTCTGTCCCTCACTGTTGAAATAAACCTACCATTAAAATTATAGACTGATCATTTCTTTGTCAGTGGGCAAACGTACAAAATCAGCAGGGGATCAAATACTTTTTCCCCCCTCACTGTATGTTGTTCAATTAAGCAATAAGGCCCTTAGCCGTGGCATATGGCCAATATACCACAAACCCCCGAGGTGCCTTATTGCTATTATAAACTGGTTACCAACGTAATTAGAGCAGTAAAAATACATGTTGCCATACCCATGGTATAAGGTCTGATATACAACAGCTGTCAGCCAATCAGCATTCAGGGCTCAAAACACCCAGTTTATAATGTAAAATAATTCACTTGTAAGGAGAAATTGGATTAAGAGTGGCCAATCTTCTGTCTGCAGATCTAAAAACAAACAACTATTAAAATACCCAAAGGTTGTCAGCCTGTTCTATTAAATAAAACCACCAAGTTATTTCATTCATTATTTTAATTTATTACACAATATAGTACAGTACTGATCAAATACAATTTAAAATGCAAGTTTGTGAATAAACACATATGTTACATGGATACAGTGATGATATTATAGCTATAGATGGATAAACAGACTTGTAACAGCCACATAGGCTATCCCAGAACCCAAAAAGATCCAAAACTGCTTCCTCATTCTTTGTTTTCACATTTAGCAAGTCGTCTGCAAGGTAAACACGTACAATTTGTCATTTTCATTAGATATAAGAAACATAGGCAGATGAAAAGCAAAAAATATACAAAAAAGTGAGACAGGTTGTGTGTGCCAACATAACATAATCTACATACAATTTGATTAACTGGGACTGGGGCTTAGTGCAAATAACACTGTAATAAATGTAACTTGGGGTATAAAACTATTATCTTACAAAGTGCCAATAAACTTGGTATGTAATGCTGCAAACAAATTCATTGGTCAATGCTGGACTGTTGTGTTTGGTTATTCACAAAGGGCCAGCCAGACAACCTTTTAAGTCTGGTTTTAGTGTCATAGAAGAACAGTTCAGAGACCAGTATTGAGCAGCGCCAGCACATTTCTCCACTGATTTCAGACCTGTCTGGATAACAATAATGGAAACTAAAACTGTGAGGACCCTATAGCCTTGTCTAACAATCCTTAACTCCTACTTCTCTAGTGTTTTTCAAATCAGAAGTTCTGAAGGAACTAGATAGGTGTGAGCAATATGACAGATAATCCCTGAATCTCATCAGCACTGGAGCTACCATATTGCTTACATATGTCCAGTTTCTTCTGAAGTAGGGGAGCCGAATGGTTTAAAGACAATGGGTTCTTAAATATACTTTTTCTGGCCAAACGTAAAAAATAGCTGTTGATGAAAGTGGACATGAAGAATTCTGTAGAATTGCAAAATATCTATGTTTGTGACCAATATGGGTGTGTAGTCAATCAAAATACTGTGTATGAAGCTTATCTCTGTTAAAACTAGGTTATGAATATTCAGGAGGAGAGTAACACTGTTTTCCCAATACCTTCATAACATGAGACCAATTTGAGGCTATATTATTATCAAGAAAGAACATTAATACATTTAAAAGCTTTGAACGATAGAAGATAATACGGAAATGATTTGCAGTAATTTACAGCTTGGGACTCCTATTGGTGTGAAGGAAAAGCATTACATGGTGTTTTAGCAAGTGTTTTCGAGACTGACATTTCATGGGAATCTGTTAAAATAGTATTTGCTTGCAGGAAATGTTTACTTACTGCTATTCTGAAATGACAGAAGCGGTGCATTGCAGGTGTAACCATCGACCACTTACAGGTGGTCTATTTAACTCCGTCACGAATACAAAGATAAAACTAACTCACAGCTAGGCCTAGTAACTGTAATGGAAAAACTATAGTACAATATTTGAGGTTATTTGATGAATGACAGATAGTGCCCAGAGTGTCTGCTTTGAACTAGGGGAATAGAGATACTGCCTTGTTTGATATGCAGGTCAAATTCAAGAAGGGCATTCAATTAAAACAACGCGGTTTGTTGTGATGCTCCAACTCTGCAGATAGCCTCACTGAGGTCCCTCCCCAAAATGCCAACACTACAGTATCCCTGTGTATATGCCAACCTACCATTACAAAAACAGTACCAATCAGGTCCTAGTAAGATATGACAGGCAGGCGAGTCACTCAATGAGAGAAGCTCCATGCAGATCTGAAGGTTGCAGATTAATTGACAGTCAGTGGCGGAGAGAGGATTCCCCAAAACCACACCAATGTGTTACCATGATGAGTTGTACTATAAGAGTACACACCCAGAGGTAGTTTAAATAACCGACTGCTGAAATGGGACTAATAAAGCAAGTACTGGCCAGAGAAACGGCTGGTAACGCAGACGTTCTGCCAACGTTCTCTCTAAAAAAAAAAAACTACACAAAACAAAAACAATCTTCTTCTGAAATCTAAAATCTAGTTTAGTCTTTTTTTTAAGGCATTCTTTCTTTAGTTTGAGATGGCTGTGGATTTCACAGACACACAAACGTATATATGTCTCATATGTCTTGTACATGTCTCATATAGGTCTTCTAGTTAAAGGCTTTTATCCACAGCTTAGACTGTGGTCCGCAGTGTGCAGAGAAGCAACAAAGGACACAGGGATAGTTACATGAATACAGTTGAGTACTAACACGTATAACTCTGATATCCTGCACCAATGTTCCTCTGCACAACATCCCATCCTTGGATTAGCCACTTCGTTTCAAGGGCAAGTTTCCCAGACCAATATTAAGCTTAGTCCTGGACTAGAAAGCATGCGAAATGGAGAACCTCTACTGAAAGTGATTTTTAGTCTAGGAACAGGCTTAGGTTGAATCTGGTTCTGGATAACCAGCCCTAAATGTTTAGGGTTATGTGGCTTTTATCCAAGGTAGGAACCGTTGGGCAGACAACGCTTACAGACTGAATACTTTGTTTCAATATATATATTTCCTATATATACACACACACACACACACACACACACACATCTGGTTCTGTAAAAGGATGACAATCACAACAGAGATGCAGGTCTAGAGCTCCCTGTGAAATGGGAGTGAGACAAGACAGGACGGCAACTCGAGTTGGACAGTGATGGGTTTCCCCTACGGTTGAGAAATGACAGCGAGTGTTGAGTTCTGGATGGGTCCACTCAGGTCGAGAGCTGGGCCAACTCGTGGTCGCTTGACGAGCTCACCTGCCTCTCCACCCCCCTTTGCATTTTACAGGCGGCCATCCTTGCCTGAATGTCTCCCTTCTTCTCAAAGTAGTCCACCAGGGGCAGCTCGGTGAGCATCGACGCCAGCACCTGCTCGAAGGTGATGGACCAATCGCCATCCAGCGTGCTGCCTCGCCGCTGCTGGTCGCCGGCACAGCCAATCAGGACTGTGTCGTCGGCGATATCCTCGTACTGCAGCGAACCCGTGCTCACCATGGAGTAGGACGAGACCGACGTGTCATCCTTCACTTCTTCGTCCGACGTCTGCTGGGGCGGTGTTTCCTGCTGGGCCTCCGCCAAGGCCTTACAGACCAGGGACTGTCCTGAGCTGCTTTCCCCATTCGACTCCTCTTTTTCGGGCTGGGGCAGTTCAGCGGCGGGGGTGGGAGCCTGGGTGTTGGTGGCGTCAGTTGGTTTCTTGGCGCCGTTGTTGGTGAACTTCTTGCCCACCTCTCCGATGCGCAGCAGCAGGCTGGCCACAGTGGCGATGGCGTGGTAGAGTTCCTGCTCCAGTGGGTCCTCGCTGAACATGTTGTACAGGGTCTTACACAGCTCTATGAACTGCTCCTGTAGGGGACACACACACACACAGGGGATCTCACAGAAATGGCTTCTCCAAGTGTGCATGAGTGGTCAAGTTATGGTCATCTCTCAGTACTGTGGTATGTACCTGGTTCATCCTGGGAAGGTCTTTAATGGTCTCAATCTTGGGCTCCTTCTCCTTGGCCCACATCCTCAGGTAATACTTATAGTCCTTCACCTCTGAAACAGACATCACAATTTTATACTGGCTACGTAAAGCAATACCGCTTGAATCCTGCAGAGGGCAGGACAAGGAAGAATAACAATACTGCAGAAAGGTAATTAACATAGGCAGAGTGAGGCTCACCTTTCTTCTCCTCTGCATCTCCACTTCCCAACGCTTCCCCAGCCTCTTTAACCTCCTCTCCTGCAGACAGAGACAACCACCACCATCATCATGTCCACAAAACCACTACTCAGACCATCCACACCAGTGTACACACTACAGAGTGACAGGTAATAAAGTGGGTTATCTAGACAGAGATTGGAAGGTGGTGGGGGGGGGGGGGGGGTAGTCTTTCCAGTGTAGGGTGATTACAGTTAGTTTGATTTTTGTGTTAGTTTGTGAGACATCCACTTCACTGAAGATGAGGTGAGTCAACTAGCCCACAGATACTAGGAGGGTAACAGGCAGGGATGGAAATTCCTAGCTCTGAGATGCAGGTACCACAGCTGCTCAGATAAGGGGAAAGAGATGTGATGTCATTCACACCAGAACATACCAAAGAGAGCCCAGAATGGACTGTACCAAGTGGACAGGGAGAGGAAATGAGGGGGGGGGGGGTCTCCACTCTGTATTAAGTTGTGTAATCTGCTGGTATGATTGTGTGCTCTGTCACATGGGGAGGTTATTAACAGGTTAGAGAGTGTCCTCTATGGACTACAACTAATAATTGTTTCAGAAATTGGCAGATTATTGGAATATTAGATTGACTATTCCGCCTGAAGACAGCGTGGCCACCATTTTGTTGATCAAACGTGTCTTCGTGACACAGAGAGTCACAGAGAGACAAACCTGAGGTCACTTCCTGCACCAGGAAGTCCAGATCAGACAGGAAGGGAGATTCTGGAGCGTTGAGAAGAAAACGAAACGAGATGGGGAGAGCAAGAGATTATAGAAATGAGAGAGAAATAAAAGAGAAAGAGCAATATAGAGAGAGATCAAGACAGAAAGCAAGTGAGGGAGGGAGGAGAGGAAACAGATCCAACAATACCATGATGATGAGAACACACATTCTATCAGTTAAATCAAGTAGTAGAAATCTGTTTTCCATGCACACACACACATGCAAGGGAGCAGGACTGTAGGAACCACACATTGCCTCAAGTAGAAAATCTCACCAACATGTCAAATATCACATTTACATTGTGAGCAAACTACAGTATGAGAGATGGTTACCAAGTGTGTGTGTGTGTGTGTATTCCCTCCTATAGAAATATAAGAGTGTATTCTCTACGCATAAGTCAACAGCAATGTGTGTGTGTGTGTGTGTGTGTGTGTGTGTGTACCCTGTTGAGTGTCATCGTCAGTGAAGAACTGTGTAGCCTCTAGTGCTGACTCAGCCTCCTCTGGACACAATGCTGTAAGAGAAAGAAGAAGCATGTTAGCACTAGCATGTATTATTATAATAAAATACACATTGTCACTCATTCCCACACCACACACATTTTCTCCAAAACTGCTCAATTGATCCCTCTCTGAAACACTATGGTAACACACCCACATTGATGACGTTGTCCCTACAGTGACTGTACGTACTAAGATTGAATCCTACTACACCGGCTCCGACGCTCGTCAGATGTGGCAGAGCTTGCAAACTATTACAGACTACAAAAGGGAAGCCCAGCTGCAAGCTGCCCAGTGACACAAGTCTACCAGACGAGCTAAACGACTTCTATGGGCTCTTCGAGGCAAGCAACACTGAAGCATGCAAGAGAGCACAAGCTCTTCCGGACGACTGTGATCACGCTCGCCGTAGCCGATGTGAGTAAGACCTTTAAACAGGTCAACATTCACAAGGCCGCAGACTGATTACCAGGACATGTACTCCGAGCATGCGCTGACCAACAGGCAAGTGTCTTCATTGACATTTTCAACCTTTCCCTGGCCGAGTCTGTAATACCAACATATTTCAAGCAGACCACCATAGTCCCTGTGCCCAAGAACACTAAGGTAACCTGCCTAAATGACTACCGACCCGTAGCACTCACGTCTATAGCCATGAAGTTCTTTGAAAGGCTGGTCATGGCTCACAACACCATTATCTCAGAAACCCTAGACCCACACCAATTTGCATACCGCCCCAACAGATGACACAATCTCCATTGCACTCAACACTGCCCTTTCCCACCTGGACAAAAGGAACACCTACGTGAGAATGCTGTTCATTGACTACAGTTCAGCATTCAACACCATAGTGCCCTCAAAGCTCATCACTTAAATAAGGACCCTGGGACTAAACACCTCCCTCTGCAATGGGATCCTGGACTTCCTGACGTGCCGCCCCCAGGTGGTAAGGGTAGGCAACAACACATCTGCCACGCTGATCCTCAACACAGGGGCCCCTCAGGGGTGCGTGCTTAGTCCCCTCCTGTACTCCCTGTTCACCCACGACTGCGTGGCAAAGAACGACTCCAACACCATCATTACGTTCGCAGACAACACAACGGTGGTAGGCCTGATCGCCGACAACGATGAGACAGCCTATAGGGAGGTCAGAGACCTGGCAGTGTGGTGCCAGGACAACAACCTCTCCCTCAACGTGATCAAGACAAAGGAGATGATTGTGGACTACAGGAAAAGGAGGGCCAAGCACACCCCATTCTCATCGACAGGGCTGTAGAGGAGCAGGTTGAGAGCTTCAAGTTCCTTGGCGTCCACATCACCAAGACAGTCATGAAGAGGGCACGACAACGCCTATTCCCCCTCAGGAGACTGAAAAGATTTGGCATGGGTCCACAGATCCTCAAAAAGTTATACAGCTGCACCATCGAGAGCATCCTGACTGGTTGCATCACCGCATGGTTTGGCAACTGCTCGGCCTCCGACCACAATGCGCTACAGAGGGAGTGCGTATGGCCCAGTACATCACTGGGGCCAAGCTTCCTGCCATCTAGGACCTCTATACCAGGTGGTGTCAGAGGAAGGCCCTAAAAATTGCCAAAGACTCCAGCCACCCTAGTCAAAGACTGTTCTCTCTGCTACCGCACAGCAAGCGGTACCGGAGCACCAAGTCTAGGTCCAAAAGGCTTCTTAACAGCTTCTACTCCCAAGCCATAAGACTGCTGACAGTTAATCAAATGGCTACACAGACTATTTGCACTTTAGTCTATTTAGTAAATATTTTTCTGAACTGTTTTCTTTCTGAAAACTGCATCGTTGGTTAAGGGCTTGTAAGTAAGAATTTCACGGTAAGGTCTACACATGTTGTATTAGGCATGTGACAAATAAAATTTGATTTGAGAGAGACAATTCTTCTCTTATGCGCATACATGGTGTCTGTCGCTTTACAAACACACCACCCAAAACACAGGGTCACAAGAGTGTGTGCTTGCTGGCTGACTGCAGGCTCACTTCCTCTGCATTTGTTGATTCAATAGAACTCTGTTTCTTAGTGAAAAGTGTATGAAGCCAAATAGTGAGAAGTCAGAATGGGAGTGTCAATATCCTGCAGTATTGTCTGCAATGAGTTTATCATAAGAGTTGTGTTTTTCCCCTGCTTACCTGGCGGCAGGTGAAGTTTATACAGTAACTTCAGTTTCTCTGTCATGTCTCCGTGGTACATCCCACCTGATGGGAGACATATGGTTGGTCAGTTACATAATTGGCAGCAGAGGTGGGATCCATGCTAATTAATAATAATAATAATAATAATAATCTTATAATCAACCAGTCAAATTAGGCACTGGGACTTATGCTTCTACAAACTAGCACATAATTGGTCTCGAAACTCAAAACCAGCTGCACCCCCCTCCCCCCCCGACAGCCAAAACATCAATGTTGTAACCCATGTCAGTTACTATCTTCAACAGCAGCAAGTTGCAATTCCTTAATTCAAATCTCCAAACTCACTCAGGCCTGTGACAAACTCTTTGAAGTTGATGAGGCCGTCCTTGTTGCTGTCCAACAGGCGGAAGTGGCGAGCGGCCAGCGTGGCGGTGTGCGTGCCACACAGCCAGGTGCCCAGGGCCCCGAACAGCTGGCAGAACTGTCCCATGTCGATGCGGTACTGCTCCAGGTAGGGCAGGCTGGGGTCGTGGCGCTCCGCCGCCGTGCTGCTGGCCCCCCAGTAGCAGCTCATGATGTGCTTGGCCTGCCATGTGGAAAGGGAGTGGGATGCAGGTCAGAGGTGGTATTAGCTGATTGAAACATTGAATGGATGGTCCAATGGTGCTTGACAGTTGAGGGACTTGAGTTAACGGCTTGATAATGATGGCTTATGTTGGAGGCTTTCAGGTTTACACTTGTTTGGAGCAGGAGCCACAACTTGTTTTGTTCTCAGTCTATTGATAATGGCTCGCTTGGTTGGACAACACCTAACGTGTGACAGCTGTGTGACCTGTTATCATCACCACAACCATGACCAACATGGCACAACAAACAACTATTATTTACCACCCAACACACTAAGTTGCCACACCTGTGTTTAGAACATTGCTAACAGAGAAAACTTGATGAATAAAATGTTCAAGACCAGTGTTAGGTAATGGTGTAAAAAGCCACAGGGGCGGTAATAATTATGCCGATTTCTCACCTTGAAGAAAACATAGAGTTCCTCTAGCTCCTCGATGCTAAAGGCTGAGTCGGTCATGATGGCCCTCACCTGTGGACAGACACACAGCTTTACACCAGACAGAGAAATACCTCTGGCTATGGCACATTGGACCAAGTAGGCACTGTAAGACTCCTGCATGGACATGTTTTTGTTCCAACCTTAACATCCCCTATTCAATACATCTGATATCGACAGTAGATCATTATTAAGCGAAGGTTGGAATGAAGAGTAATCTCAATGCTATGAAATTAATTTGTCAACATCAAACTACAACCATCAACGCAACGAGACAAAGAAACCAATGTCACCAAGCGCTTCAATCACGGTCACTTCTTTGACATATGAACTCACCACGCTCCTCTTCGCGGTGTCCTCCAGCGATTGGATAACCTTTAACCTCTGCTGGAACCTCATCTGCTCGATGACATCAGCACGCAGACTTCCAAACTTCTGCTCAGGGACACAGAAACAGAGGGAAAAGGCAGGTGTTAGAGAAGTTAAATAGCTTTCAATAGAGTCGGTTACAAATGTATCCCAAAGTCACTGATTTGTAGAATCTACATCAATCTCTCCTTGTTCTATGCGATTCAGTAAACAAGCGAATTGTCTTCAAGAACTAAGAATGGAATTCATTTTCAGTGAAAAAGTAATTTGGCTCTACTAGTCATGCTGGGAGCACTTGTCTTACGTCATAGGATGACTTGATGAGCTGAAACACGTCAATCTCAGGCGGTGGTTCATCACCACTGGTCAACAGGGCGTGGAGGTGGGGAATGGGAGGAGACACAGTCTGCTTGTTCACAACATTGTCCAGGTACCTGAGAGAGAGAAAAAGAGGGAACAACCAATATTTCTCAGTCCAGCGCAATATGGCAAATCCCTCACTCACCGTCCCAGTATGGTCATGGCCTCTCCCTCGTCGGTGCAGACTAGCAAATGGCCCCTCCCTGCCCTCCTTCCATCTGTTTCTCCCACCCCCCCACTCACCGTCCCAGTATGGTCATGGCCTCTCCCTCGTCGGTGCAGACTAGCAAATGGCCCCTCCATGCCCTCCTTCCATCTGTTTCTCCCACCCCCCACTCACCGTCCCAGTATGGTCATGGCCTCTCCCTCGTCGGTGCAACCCAGCAGCGTGTCCATGTTGGCGTGCAGCACGGCCAGCGCCACCTGGAAGATGACCTTGATGCCCTCGTAGAAGAAGCAGTCGACCAGGAGCACGGCGCTGTCGAAGGGCATGACGCTGAGGAACAGCGTGAGGAACCAGGAGAGGGAGATGGTGGAGATGACGCCCAGCTCCTGCATGTGCTCGTAGAGGAGGGGGAGGCACTCACGAGTCAGCTCCTCAAATACACCCTGGTCGACGAGAGCACCTGGGGGAGGGGGATAATTAAAAAGACATCCATACATTCCAAACCTATGCATCAAGGTTGGGGTCAATTCATTTTAGGAAGACAAGTACAATTTAATTCATGCAATGAAAAGTCCTTTTCAAAACTGAATCGACCCCAGCCCATACCAACTACTGAGTTATCACTCTTAGAGCCTTCAGAAATCATTCTATTTCTATGGTAATTAGTGGCTTTGCTTTTCTATTGCCAGTCTAGCCGTCACTCACCCACAACCCTTGTGTTGTAGTAGTCAGGCAGCATCCTCTCACACAGAGCCACCAACAGCCAGAAGGCCTCCTCCTCTGTACAGTACAGCAGCAGCACCGACGTCACAATGTTCATCGCCTGGAGAGGACAGGCGTCGATCATTATGTACAACTCTTCTGCTTGTGCAGCATCACAAACATCATTTCCTGTCTTACTGAATTTGTAGTTGCAAGTTTTATTAGTTGTATGTACGGGATACGCATGGTATACATCTTTCCAATGAAATGCTTACTTGCAGGTTCTTTCTCGACAATATAACGACAATAAGAAATAATAAAAGATAAGAATACGAAAATAAAATAAATGGCAATAGAATAGAAAAGATTTGAGCATCAGTATAATACAGGAAGGCACAATTTATAGTCCAATATTTACACGTGTTTTGGGGAAGGGGGAGGAAGTGTAGACATTGAGCAGTATAATAAGAGTCTGGTAGCAGCAGTTGTGATGTGTGTATGTGTGTGTATATATCTCTCTCTCTGTGTGGTTGTGTGCATGAGTGCTATGGTGAGGAGAATCAGAGCAGGTGGTCAGTCCAGTGTGTTCAGCAGTCTGATTGCTTGTAGATAGAAGCTGTCTCTAAGTCTGTTGGCATCAGACCTCATTGCTCCGATACCGTCTGCTCGACTTTAGAATTAACAACAAGACAAACTGAAGAGAAGGAAGAATCAGAGACGAAAACAGGCAGACATAATAGCCTCACAGTAAAGAATAGACCACCAGACTACAGTAGTTTCCTTGCACGGTTTCCGCTAGCTGGTAATAGGCGGCTTTTGGCTGATAAAAAAATTAGAAAATAAAATTGGCGCCGGCTAATTGTCCCGGAGAAGACGAACAAATCCCATTGTGAAATAATGCTTTTTCGCCTATTCATTGACGGAAATACCAGTTGATGTAATTACATTTGACTGGTCATGCTTATCCGTCTGTAGGTACATTTGCAAAATTTTGTGGAATTAAATTGGTGCGTGTACAGTATATTCGTTATGCATCTTATTTATCACACATGTACAGCATACAGAGCCGTTGAGCAGAAAATCTGTCAGACAGCGCGAGCGCTGCTGCTACAACATATCAAACAATGAGCTGGACACAGTATGCATTTTGAAAACATATACTTACCGTAATTTTTGGACTATAAGCCGCGCCTTTTTTCCCATTTTTCGACCCTGCGGTTTATATAACGGTGCGGCTAATCTATGGATTTTTACAGCTAACGGCCACTAGAAGACCTCCTAAATCTATGGACTTTACAGGTTACAGTCCACCAACTTTAACTCTATGGGCTCTATGACCGGTCCGCGCCCCCCACCTTTAAGCGGCGGGCTCCAGCAGGAAAAGCTGGAGGCCGGAAAAGAGTGAGACAGGTAGCGCGCAAAAGTAAAAGTGGAACCGAGAGTGGTACGAGAGACAGAACGAGAGACAGAACGAGAGCAAGACAGACAGACATTACGAGAGCGAGACAGTTTGTCTCTTTCCCGGCAATCCCCTCTGTGCACGAACCCTTACATATGGTAATTAAACATTAAAACACCTGTGGCTTATAGTCCAGTGCGGCTTATATATGTACACATCATTCAATATCATTCAATTTAGCTGCTGCGGCTTATACTCCGGTACGCCTTATAGTGCGGAAAATACGGTAATTGTTTGGAACCTGAACGTTTTAACCTTGCTTCAAAGTAGCCTAGTCAAAATCAGACCATATCAGTGGAGGCAATTCTTTTATATTCAACTTTATTTCGTCGTCCAGTAGCCAAAGGCACAATCCTAGTCATATTAGCAGCCCGTGCTAGTTGTTGCATATTAGATCTCCCCGCTTTCTAAATTTCTAACGGATAATTTCCTCTCTGTCATATGAAACCACTGGCATGTGCGGTGCCTTTTTACACCGCTATTAGCATTATGGAACAAACATTCGCGCGTAGTCTACTGCCTTGTGCGTATTGCTACGCTTATAAATGTGAAGAAATAAAAGTTTATCAACATTTTAAGCTAAACGTTCTGATCTGTTGCATCAGACTCATTGATTTTTTACTTTCTATTTTTTATGTAGCCTAGGCCAACTGGTTGTATGAATTTGGGATCCATCGTCCCACAACTGTCCCAAAGTCTGTTTGGAATAGGCTGTTTCTTTCCCGACAAGCTGACCAATAGAATAGGTTAACTTTTATGGGGGATATTAGATTGACATAAGCTAGTGATTTTGCTATTCGTTACGCTGAGGAAAAGTAAATGTGGACAGTTATTCTAACATCTTCGAAGTGCACATCAGAATTCGATAAGAACTGCACATCGTTGCATCCTCGTCTTGCATGTCCTGTTAATATGAATGACCATAATCTAAATGTGATTTCTGTAATTCTGAGCACCGTGGGTGGACGCCTTAATCAGATTACTCACCCAACACATATGGGTCCAGTACATTTCTGAAATGTCCTGTAAATTAAAAAAAATTCCAGTGCCACATTTTACTAATGGAAAGCCTGTTTCCCTGTCTCATTTCATTCAATCACTATTTCCAGGGAATGCTTAGGACACTAGGCCTTAGTTCCAATCTCATTATCAGCTTGAAGCTTTTCATGTTTCACAGTCAACTCAAACAGTCAGTCTGTTTCAGATGGCATTTTCCAGGAATTTAATTCCACTTTAGCCTTACATTGAGTTCTTTCAACTACTTCAAAGCATCCAACTCAATTGGCCACTATCTGGAACCAATTGTACATTACAGAGAAGTTTCTAAATATAACAGATAGGCCTAAGTAACAAACTGTAAAAGTGTAAGAAATCTCATAACGTCTCACAGCCAATGACCATGTTTATTGGTTTTAACGTTTAACAACAAAAAGGAACCTAACAAGTTGCCAACGTCACCAGGCAAGCTCCATCCTGGAACCCACAAGGAAAACGGAAGAGGGGGGCACCCAAGAAACACCTGACAGCGGGAGCTTGAAGCAGACACCAAAAGATCTGGCATAAGATGGAACAAGACTGAGTGTGATAGAGAGTCGTCGATGGCCTATGATACTCCCTGGAGAGCGATGAGCCTAAGTAAGTAACGTAAACAAGTTGGCATACCTGGCAGTATCCTATGCCAGGGTTGCGGCAGGCGTAGGCGGTGAGGACCCTGCGGAGGGCAGCGATGCCCATCTCATTCTGGAAGGCGTGGTGCTCGGGCATGGAGCGATGCAGGTCCCTCTCGATCTCCTCTGTGGCCAGGGTACAGCGGCCCATGGCCTGCTCCACCAGCTCAGCATAGTAGCCAGGGTGGGTGGCCATCTCATTCTGAGCTCCTGGAGAGGGGATGGATGGATGGATGGTAGTAAAAGGGTTAATTCAATGGATTATAAGGCAGATTCAGTCAATATGGATGTCAGTCAGCAAATTATCTAATGTTTAGATCCTTTTGATTCTACCCATTGTATAACTGGTAGTTTCTTGTATCAACAACAACATGGGCTAACTTTACATATTTTCTAGAAAACACAAAGCTGACGGATTCCTGAAAACAGACTAGTCATTGACTCTCACTCCAGATATCATTGCAGGACACAATCCTGGTCATTGAGCCCTGTTTATTAAGTGCTTATCATTTTACAAAGAGGACACAGCCAAAGTATGAAAACACATCCACATAGCAACACAATCTAAGGGCTCAGTTTCTAGGTTGTCATTATTGCGTAACCCTTGCTTAGCTAGGCCGCATGACTCAGGAATATAGTTGGTCAGCTGATCCCAGATGAGTCAGACAGGAATGACGGAGGGGAGGGGTCAGCTTGGTGACGTCGCACCACGAGGCAACAACAACACTTCCCTAGTCACCATGGCAACAGAGACACTGAAACACACTACCTTCAGGTCACAAGGTAGGAGTGAGTGCTTTCCTCGAGACCAACAGAATGCTGATGTACACTATATATACACAAAAGCATGAAGACACCCTTTCAAATTAGTGGATTCGGCTATTTCAGCCACACCCATTGCTGACAGGTGTATAAAATTGAGCACACAGCCATGCAATCCCCATAGACAAACATTGGCAGTAGAAAGGCCTTACTGAAGAGCTCAGTGACTTTCAAAGTGGTACCGTCATAGGATGCCACCTTTCCAACAAGTCAGCTGGTCAAAATTCTGCCCTGCTAGAGCTGCCCCGGTCAACTGTAAGTGCTGCTATTGTGAAGTGGAAATGTCTAGGAGCTCAGCTTCGAAGTGGTAGGCCACACAAGCGCACAGAATGGGACCGCAGAATCCTGATGCGTGTGGCGCGTAAAAATTGCCCTCGGTTGCAACACTCACTACCGAGTTCCAAACTGCCTCTGGAAGCAAAGTCAGCACAAGAACTGTTCGTTTGGAGCTTCATGAAATGGGTTTCCATGGCCGAGCAGCCGCACACAAGCCTAAGATCACCATGTGCAATGCCAAGCATCGGCTGGAGTGGTGTAAAGTAGGGTTGGCCGATACTACGATATAAATCAACGATGTTTAAAAGACATCATCGATGGCAACGACATTGTGATGTGACACAATAGTTATATATATATATATATATTTTTTTTTTACAGACGATAGTTTAACCTATTTGAACATGACTGACACCGCCGGAGTCGGGCAGCGCAAAACAGTGCAGCTCACAGCCGAGGAACACGCCGAATGACCTTCCTATTCGCCATAGCCTTTTTCTATAAATATGTAGGTAGACTTATCCTACTATTAACATAATGCAAGAGTAGGCCTACAAAGATTATAGATGGAGCGGAGTGTGCCAAAAGATGCGCAAAATGTCAGGTAACATTTATCTCGCTCACCTCTCCAATGTCGGATGATCATGGGCCTTTTGCAGCGGACACTACGATCTCTGGCTTGTTTTAAAAGCTTAAAATTCCCTTTTTGTCCCAATCCCCATTTTATTTGAATGTCACTTGTTGGTCTAAGCATATCTTTCATGATCAACTTTCAAATGAATCTAGGAGGCCAGTAACAGAGTTCCATCTCAGAAAGTTGTGTTTGCGAATAGCCTAAATAAAAACATGATATGGTAATCATGAGAGAGAGAGAACCGACAATTGCAAGACAGAATAATAGAATGAGAAGTTTAAACAACCCGTATAAGTTTCTGGCCTCCACCTGACCAAAGCTTTAGGAGAAACAAATTGTGTGCCACCGGAAAATCCTTGCAAACCAAACAGCCAATAATATAGGCCTACACTAGGCTACTGTCAATAAAATGTGCAGTAAATGTTAATTGTTAAACTTCTAAACAGATATCTAGATTATTGTGGAAGTGTTTATTCCTATCCTTGAATTGTGCAAGGGGCATTACATAAGCTCCCACAGCAGCAATTTCGATAAGCAGTAACAAAAAATAAATGTTGCCTATTAAAAGAATAACACACATTTGAATAGGCTACAAATTACAAAATAAATAAACAAAATAAGTACAAAATTAACCAAATAAATTACAGTGCAAATAAGTTTAAGGTGTGATTCATCACTCCAGAGAACACGTTTCCACTGCTCCAGAGTCCAATGGCAGCGAGCTTTACACTAGGGTTGGGCGATGTCTGGAATGACACATCGTCCCATCCAAACATTGTCAAGATACGATTGTATCATCTATTTTTATTTTACTTGGGGCAGCGCTGCGTTGCAATGCAGTAAACAATCTGTAATGCAGCCTGTGTCATGCACAAACCACCGATTTTAAAGTCTATTCATTAGACTACAATGTGGAAATCATCTTACCAATATTGTATTTTCTTGAGTGCAAATTAATAAATATCAACCAATGTGGTACCGATAATTTTGAATGGTGATTTGGAACCAAACGTTGTAGGCTACAGTGTGATACGAGACCCTTTCAATGGTGATTTCGGACAATTTCCCCTGATAGAGTGTGCATGTTCACAATAGAAGACATCACTGGGCAGTCTTCTTGGGAGAACTAAGCAAACAGTCACACTCAGTGCGCAACAGTGGGCCAGCGCAGAGCTCACATCCTACCTTCTCTAAGATGTAATCGGAGGAGATGATGACCCACTGGCATCGTGGAGAGGGAATGAGGGTCGCTTTCCGCTCTTGGCCAACATCGCCCTCAAATACCTCTGAATCTGTGCAAAAAGCGTTCCGTCTGAACGTGTTTTCAGTAGGCAAAATTGTTACCCCACTCCGTAGTCTATTAAAGCCAGAAAAGGTGAACATGCTTGTGTTTCTTGCCAGAAACCTTAAGGTAGGTTAATATAACGAAAACAAAAATAGTCTGAATGGTTCTTCATTGCACTTTTTATTTGTTTAATTTTTAAAGCCTGTATTCACAGATGCATCTTATTCAAAATAAATGTAGCCTAGGCTAGAATATTCTGCTCGTCGAACATCTCATTCCAAAATCATGGTCATTAATATGGAGTTGGTCCACACTTTGCTGCTATAACAGCCTCCACTCTTCTGGAAAGGCTTTCCACTAGATGTTGGAACATTGCTGCGGGGACTTGCTTCCATTCAGCCACAAGAGCGTTAGTGAGGTCGGGCACTGATGTTGGGCGATTAGGCCTGGCTCGCAGTCGGCGCTCCAATTAATCCCAAAGGTGTCTGATGGGGTTGAGGTAAGGTCTCTGTGCAGGCTACTTAAGTTATTCCATACCGATCTCGACAAACCATTTCTGTATGGACCTTGCTTTGTGCACAGGGGCATTGTCATGCTGAAAGAGGAAAGGGCTTTCCCTAAACTGTTGCAACAATGTTGGAAGCACAGAATCGTCTAGAATGTCATTGTATGCTGTAGGGTTAAGATTTCCCTTCACTGGAACTATGGGGCCTAGCCCGAACCATGAAAAACAGCCCCAGACCATTATTCCTCCTCCACCAAACTTTACTGTTGGCATCCGTCAAACCCAGATTCGTCTGTCGGACTGCCAGATGGTGAAGCGTGATTCATCACTCCACAGAACGTGTTTCCACTGCTCCAGAGTCCAAAGGCGGCGAGCTTTACACCACTCCAGCTGATGCTTGGCATTGCGCATGGTGATCTTAGGCTTGTGTGCAGCTGCTCGGCCATAGAAACCCATTTCATGAAGCTCCTGACAAACAGTTATTGTGCTGACGTTGCTTCCAGCGGCAGTTTGGAACTTGGTAGTGAGTCTTGCAAACGAGGACAGATGATTTTTACGTGCTACGAACTAACTAGTTGGAAAGGTGGCATCCTATGACAGTGCCACATTGAAAATCACTGTGCTCTTCAGTAAGGCCATTCTACTGCCAATGTCTGTCTATGGAGATTGCATGGCTGTGTGCTCGATTTTATACACCTGTCAGAAACAGGTGTGGCTGAAATAGCCGAATCCATTCATTTGAAGGGGTGTCCACATACGTTTGTATATATAGTGTATATTCAACCTTCAAATGCTGCCATTCAAAATCATCATGTTTGAAGAAACCTTATAGATTATTATTGCATGTATTTGTTTCTATTTGGTAAATGATCTACCTCACCCTTACAATCTACAATTCTGTTGACTTCACAGTACAGGCCTATTGGCTTTCTGCCAGCTCCACCTAAACCAAACTTTAACCCTCAAAGCTAGTCTGAAGATGCTTAGTGGTGTCTTTGAGAACTGGTACAAGAACAGAAACCATTTGGAGGGAGAGTTCCTCTGCAATGATACCTACTTGTGGTTGTGGTTGGTGGTTTGAAACCCCATAGAGGTTCTGCCAAAAACAGCCCAAAGACATAGTGCATCTGTGCTAGAGTAGGAGTGGCCTAGTGGTTGGAACCATGGGCCACATATAGACTACACAGCCAAAGCAGAAGTTTAGGAATGTATCGTGACTTCCATCAGAAAAACTGAGTGCAATGACTGCATATTGGGATGCTCCAGTTAAGACATTTGCTAAATGGAGCATGGTTTCTATGTGGGCTAACCCAAAACCTTCCATGAAAAGCATTTACTCTTTGGGGAGATATAGGCTGAGAAAATTCTAGAAATTAAATTGTAGAAAACAAGATGTCTACCTGAGAAGAGCAGCCATAGCTCCCCTCGGAGGCTCTCAGGGATCCCGTTGAGCACCAGCTCTCTGGTCTTCGAGGTACGGTACATACACACCCCCCTGCCAAACTCAAAGAAGTGGATGTTCCACGACTCCTCTTTCATCTTCTCCTTGGTCTGAGAAGGAGAAAGAAATAGAAGGGGGGGGGGGTCAGTATATCAGTATGACCCCCCCCCCCCAAAAAAAAAGACATCAAGCTAAAGGTATGTTATAACAATATAATGACATTGGTGATCAATGACCAGAATGCTGTAAGGCCATGGTGTCCATGTTCCTTTGGCACCATGAGCAAAGCAAACAAAGTCAAAGAGCTACTACTAAGTTAACGAATGTCGATGCGGGCACCGTTTCCAATGAATCAGGCCTGACTTACAATCCTTGAGTTTGGGAACCTAAAGCAGAGCTAGATAGATGAACAGATGGTGGCCTTCAAGTGTCAAATTTCAAGCTTGCCTATGCATACACTTGGCTAAGATAACATTTCCTCTCATGTAATGTTAACCATGATAGGACCAGAACCATAGATACGGCATACATTAGCCTACATTCTAAAGCATCAAACATAGAGACCACACTGAAATAATAAAACCCTATAAAAAACGGGTAGGATATTCTAAGAGCATAAGACAGTCTAAGCCGTTGACGTGGGTCTGGGAGTGGGGTTGGACTTACAGCTTTGGGTCCGTGGTCCTCTGGGTCGTCCTTCTGGTAGATGCGGAGCAGGCCCTGTGTGGCTGTTGGCAGGCTGGGGCTGTAGTGACGACCCTGGGACGGTTCCCCTGCTGCACCCGTGGGTGTGGGGAGGCTGGAGGAGAGAGGGGTGGTACTGGGGCTGGGAGAACCCTGGGGAGAAAGAGGAGATAGTGGATTTAAAGGGGTATTATGAGCTAAAACATAACAGCTGGATATCCTGTCATGCAAAAAAAATAAGTAAGGTGGGAGAGAATATAAGGACATTTCGATATACAGTATGTAATAAACGAATGCATTCAAAGAAGTAATTTGGCCAAAAGCATGACCGTGAATGAGTGTTTATATCATATTAATGTCATCTAGAAAGTAGCGGAAAGATTACAGAATACATCAAAAAGCCATATTATGTATCACAATCTCGTTCATAGGGTCGCAAAAATCACGGTAACTTTCCACAAATTCCCAGGCTTTCCAGAAATCACAGTTGGAACATTCACAGAATCAGGAGTGAATAAGCAGGAAATCGGAAATCTTCCTACCAGGATTTCAGGAAATTTGGGGAAAGTTATCAGAATTTTGCAACCCTACTCTTTCACGACAGAGTGTGACTGACAGTTCAAAGGGCCCACCCAAACAGCACACATCCCCTCTGATTGACTCACTGAATAGCTACTGAGGGCCAGCGGGTGGCTGTCGCTCCACAGCTTGTCGGGTGTGCGCTGCAGGAAGTCGGAGATGCGCTGGACCAGGAAGTCACGGTCTTTGAGGTTGGCGAAGAGGAAGGTCATCTTGTTCTTGGTGCTGATGGACACGGGGCAGGGCAAGACGCTGCTGCTGTCTGCCTTCTCCACAATGGACACCTAGAGAGAAGGAGGGAGGAGAACGATGGGGAGAGAGAGAGAGAAAGGGGAGGGGAGAGTGCTTTGTTTATTTACTTATTGATCTAATGTACAACTTTAAGAACATTAGGCACATCCCACGAGGGTATGTTATGTCACCCGTGAAAAAAGAAAGACAGATAGACAGAGGGTGAGAAAGTGAGAGTGAAAAAGATTGCCAGAAAGAAAACGCGAGAAAGAGGGAGGCAGGATATAGGGAAAGAGACAGGATATAGGGAAAGAGACAGAGACAGGATATAGGGAAAGAGAGAGAGAGAGAGACAGGATATAGGGAAAGAGAGAGAGATAGGATATAGGGAAAGAGAGAGACAGAGGCAGGATATAGGGAAAGAGAGAGAGAGAGACAGGATATAGGGAAAGAGAGAGAGACAGGATATAGGGAAAGAGACAGGATAAAGAGAGAGAGAGAGACAGAGAGGCAGGATATAGGGAAAGAGAGAGACAGAGGCAGGATATAGGGAAAGAGAGAGACAGAGGCAGGATATAGAGAAAGAGAGAGACAGAGGCAGGATATAGGGAAAGAGAAAGGATATAGGGAAAGAGACAGGATATAGGGAAAGAGACAGGATATAGGGAAAGAGAGAGAGACAGGATATAGGGAAAGAGAGAGACAGAGAGGCAGGATATAGGGAAAGAGAGAGAGACAGGATATAGGGAAAGAGACAGGATAAAGAGAGAGAGACAGAGAGGCAGGATATAGGGAAAGAGAGAGAGAGGCAGGATATAGGGAAAGAGAGAGACAGAGGCAGGATATAGGGAAAGAGAGAGACAGAGGTAGGATATAGGGAAAGAGAGAGACAGAGGCAGGATATAGGGAAAGAGAGAGACAGAGGCAGGATATAGGGAAAGAGAGGCAGGATATAGGGAAAGAGACAGAGAGATATGATATAGGGAAAGAGAGAGACAGAGGCAGGATATAGGGAAAGAGACAGACAGAGAGGCAGGATATAGGGAAAGAGAGAGAGGCAGGATGCCGGAAACGAAAGAAAAGGGCATGCTTGTGTTGTGTGTGTGTAGGTACCTCTCTGAGGGGGATGATGAGTTGACAGAGGTCCTCCTCACGGCTGCAGAAGCAGATGTAGTTGTTGGAGACAAACAGCTGGCCCACGATGTGCATCTTGGCGAAGGGCGTCCACAGCGTGCAGTCTGTGTGTCCGTCCAGGCGCTCGTCCGGGGTCAGGCGGAACAGCGCCCTGTAGCGCTCGTTCTTGGCCCGTGCGTCCAGGTCCCTGAAGTTGATATCCAATAGTGAGACAGGAGAGGAGTAAATTAGCATAGCATGAACAAGTACAGATACGGTAAATATGTACACATGAAAAAAAATAATGTCTTCAAAGTTATGTATCGGTGAGATGCAGAAAATTGAGGACCATTATTATGAAATCTGGTGTGTTAGGAGGAACAATACACACCCTGCTGCCTTTCAGGACCTGAATTGCCTACCCCTGTTCTCTGGAGGTTGAACAAGCAAGTTCTTGGAAGAACCCTCCATTTCAGTGAAAACATCAATTATGGTCAGAAAAAGAATGAAATTCCTGACTCATCTCTCTTGAACCTTGAAACCTCGTACCTCTTGAGTGCCGAGACGTTCTTGAGCGTCTTGCACGCCTTGGGCAGCGAGCGGTCGGCGGCGAAGCCCTCGTTGTCCAGCAGCTGGCGCATGGCGATGGTGGCCAGCTGCTCCATGAGCTTGAAGGTGTCGTTGATGTTGAGGAACATGGAGAAGTAGTGCTCTGTGTGCCGCGTGCTCACCCGCACGCTCTCCGGGAACACCAGCGTGGCGTTCTTCTCAAGACGGGTCACCTCCGTCCACTGCACCACCAGAGTCACTATAAGGGGAGAGGGGGGACGGGAGGAGAGAGAAAGGAAGACGGAGAGAGGGATAAGAGGGAGAGAGATAGAAGGTGTACAGTAGAGAGGAAGAAAGAGGTAGATTTCATAGAATTCCATTTGAGAGAATTCAATTTGCTGGGGGTAGCTGCTGAAGTGGGGCTACCTCAACACACGCACAAACACAACACTGTATGTCCTTTCACACACTCTCTCTAAGCCCCCATTCTCTTAAGATCGCTGCCCATATACTGCACATTTCATTCGTTCTCAGACGCATGCTCACACACATCCTATGCATGTCGGGCGGGCGAGCACACACACACACTCACCTTCTTTCCCCAGGAGGAAGGAGTAGAAGCAGAGGTGGTTGACGCTGAGGTAGACCCAGCCCTGGCGGGGCACACGGCCTTTCCAGTAGCTACACGAGTAGTAGTTGACCAGCTTCTCCTCGCCGGGCATGCCAAACAGCTTTCTCATCTTCTGCTCGGCCTCGCGGAACTTGCCAGAGTCCTCGTCCTCCTGGGCCGCTTTGCTCTTGTTCTCCTCTGCGATGATGCCCTAGATAGAAAGAGTGGAAGAAGAGGGAGTTCAGATTCTGTGCCAATGTGCATGAACACATCACTTAGAATGACATTTTCCAGATCGTGTGGATTTCAGTCAATGTGACAATGACGCATAGATCTGTTCTTAATAGAGGAACTGAGTCAGCAGCTTACATAACACGGGAGCAACAATTAAGACATAGACTAACCCAAGGTTTGACCATAGAATTGGAATGTGTTCTAATTCTATGAGGTTGAACTATGCTTTGTGGCAGCAGTGCCTACCGAGATCTTCCCCTTGACGAAGGTGGTGATGTCTTCGTCATTGTCGAAGATGGAGAGCGTCTGGAGCAGGTTGGTCTCCAGCCACTCCCAGTGCTCTGTGATCTCCTTCCGGGAGGAGCCTGGGAAAACACAGTATTTCCCCACATCAAGGAGAGGTCTCTTTAGACCTGATGATAATGGATCGCATTTATATAGGCCTAGTGCTTTTTATCGTTTTATTTAAATAAGCTAGCTTCAAAACAGTTTGGCTATCCCAGAATATTCAGAGGTGTCGTGGCATGGTTTTGTACCCACCACACGCGATGCTCCAGAAGATCTGGGAGTCCCCTGTCTGGTGCAGGATCCTATAGGGAGCCACTCTGGCACTGGAGTCCAGGACCACATCCATGGTGCCCACCAACAACCCTAAAGAAAAACAGCACAACAAATTAGGCATGAATCCCAATTGGAGACTACAGGTCAACCATGCAAAATATTAAAATAGCTGGCTGGAGGAGTCCTAACTTTGCATGGGTGACTTTTAATCTACTTTCTGGGTTAACAAAGGTTATTTGGCCTAGATATGAACTGACATCCATTTTTTTTAGGTTGCGTGAGGAAGTCCAACGCCTGTTGAGGCCCAATGTCAGATAATACAGACATGCATTGAAAGTCACGTGTGTGTACGCACGCGCACACACCTCAAGAATTTCTACATGATGTACTATTTCATTGCCTACATTTTACTGTTGTACGTGGCGGGTTATTTACTGTAGGCTAGTCTAAGACCTGGCGTATGTTCCTAGAACTCGTCAGCAAAAGCAGTCATCCAGATAGAAAGCCAACACAGCTGCAGTGGTGCTAAAGCCTTTAGACAAGGACTTGAGGGAGAGATATCTGAATTAAAGTATTTGTGTATGGGTGGTCCCGGGGATCGAACCCACTACCTTGGCGTTGCAAGCGCCGTGCTCTACCAGCTGAGCTACAGAGTATTTGGTCAATAACAAAAGTTTCTCAATACTTTGTTATATACCCTTTGTTGGCAATGACACAGGTCAAATGTTTTCTGTATGTCTTCACAAGGTTTTCACACACTGTTGCTGGTATTTTGGCCCATTCCTCCATGCAGATCTCCACTAGAGCAGTGATGTTTTGGGGCTGTCACTGGGCAACACGGACTTTCAACTCCCTCCAAAGATGTTCTATGGGGTTGAGATCTGGAGACTGGCTAGGCCACTCCAGGACCTTGAAATGCTTCTTACTCCTTCGTTGCCCGGGCGGTGTGTTTGTGATCATTGTCATGCTGAAAGACCCAGCCACGTTTAATCTTCAATGCCCTTGCTGATGGAAGGAGGTTTTCACTCAAAATCTCACGATACATGGCCCCATTCATTCTTTCCTTTACACGGATCAGTCATCCTGGTCCCGTTGCAGAAAAACAGCCCCAAAGCATGATGTTTCCACCCCCATGCTTCACAGTAGGTATGGTGTTCTTTGGATGCAACTCAGCATTCTTTGTCCTCCAAACACAACGAGTTGAGTTTTTACCAAAAAGTTATATTTTGGTTTCATCTGACCATAAGACATTCTCCCAATCCTCTTCTGGATCATCCAAATGCACTCTAGCAAACTTCAGACGGGCCTGGACATGTACTGGCTTAAGCAGGGGGACACGTCTTTCACTGCAGGATTTGAGTCCCTGGCGGCGTAGTGTGTTACTGATGGTAGGCTTTGTTACTTTGGTCCCAGCTCTCTGCAGGTCATTCACTAGGTCCCCCCGTGTGGTTCTGGGATTTTTGCTCACCGTTCTTGTGATCATTTTGACCCCACGGGGTGAGATCTTGCGTGGAGCCCCAGATCGAGGGAGATTATCAGTGGTCTTGTATGTCTTCCATTTCCTAATAATTGCTCCCACAGTTGATTTCTTCAAACCAAGCTGCTTACCTATTGCAGATTCAGTCTTCCCAGCCTGGTGCAGGTCTACAATTTTGTTTCTGGTGTCCTTTGACAGCTCTTTGGTCTTGGCCATAGTGGAGTTTGGAGTGTGACTGTTTGAGGTTGTGGACAGGTGTCTTTTATACTGATAACAAGTTCAAACAGGTGCCATTAATACAGGTAACGAGTGGAGGACAGAGGATTCTCTTAAAGAAGAAGTTACAGGTCTGTGAGAGCCAGAAATCTTGCTTGTTTGTAGGTGACCAAATACTTATTTTCCACCATAATTTGCAAATAAATTCATTAAAAATCCTACAATGTTATCTTCTGGGGAGAAAAAATCTCAATTTGTCTGTCATAGTTGACGTGTACCTATGATGAAAATTACAGGCCTCTGTCATCTTTTTAAGTGGGAGAACTTGCACAATTGGTGGCTGACTAAATACTTTTTTCCCCCACTGTAGATACTTTTGTACCCGTCTCCTCCAGCATCTTCACAAGGTCCTTTGCTGTTGTTCTGGGATTGATTTGCACTTTCCGCACCAACGTACACTCATCTCTAGGAGACAGAACGAGTCTCCTTCCTGAGCGGTATGACGGCTGCGTGGTCCCATGGTGTTTATACTTGCTTACTATTGTTTGTACAGATGAATGTGGTACCTTCATGCGTTTTGAAATTGCTTCCAAGGATGAACCAGACTTGTGAAGGTCTACAATGTTTTTTCTGAGGTCTTGGCTGATTTCTTTTGATTATCCCATGATGTCAAGCAAAGAGGCACTGAGTTTGAAGGTAGGCCTTGAAATACATCCACAGGTACACCTCCAATTAACTCAAATGATGTCAATTAGCCTATCAGACGCTTCTAAAGGCATGACATCATTTTCTGGAATTTTCCAAGCTGTTTAAAGGCAGTCAACCTAGTGTATGTAAACCTCTGACCCACTGGAATTGTGAATCAGTGAATTATAAGTGAAATAATCTGTCTGTAAACAGTTGTTGGGAAAAGTAGATGTCCTAACCGACTTGCTAAAACTATAGTTTCTTTACAAGAAATTTGTGGAGTGTTTGAAAAAACGAGTTTAAATGACTCCAACCTAAGTGTATGTAAACTTCCGACTTCAACTGTATATCTGGTGTTTTATGATAGCATCCAAATTCAAAGTGGTCATATGACAGGGCTAGCTAGCAAGGTCTCCAGTTGGCTAAATTAGTATATGGTGCTTTCAAGACATCTGGGAACTCTGAAAAAAACGAGGTTGAATCATGATGTCAGTGATCTTCAGTTTGAAAAGTCGAAGCTCTAGAAAGAGGCCTGAGTTGGACACAAAGAATAGATAGATGAGGGAAGTGGTAGACAACATTCTGCCGGGGTGAGGTCATGTGAGGTGCTGATTGTACTGAGATTGTGACAGCCGGTTAAATGGTGTCCCTTGAGAAGGCAAGAACAAGACCTATGTCAGTAGAAGTGCAGTATTATCGACAATACTTGGAATATGGAGGAGGAATGGTGGGAAAAAGAGGTAGAGGAGGCCTAAGAGAGAGAGGGAGGAAGAGGGTGTGCTTTAGTCGGTTAAAAATTGCGGGAAAAGGAAGATGGTTTGTTGAAGAAGAAAGTAGAAAGTGTAAGCAAAGTGAGCTGAAGACAGGAGGAGAAATTGACGTGTATGAGGGCGAAGTATCGGAGGCGGTAGGTGTGGTGAAGTTCTCGGATCTCGAGGCTTGCACCGAGTATCAGGAAAAAGATGAGTCTGTGACAGTAGGGGTGAAGTTTTTGGAAAAAGTGGACCGTTGCCTTTTGGCTGAGTTCCAAGTTCTCATGAATGCAGCAATAGTCTACTAGCTGTGTAACGTTACTGTTTAGCGATGCATGTGAGAAAATGCACATACTTCTACCGCGTTCAAAACAACTAGGAACTCAAAAATCTCCAAGTTCAGACATCAGTGCGTTCATGACAACTGGGAACTCTGGGGGGGAAAAAGGGGGCTCCGACTGGGAAAAATGGTTTTCCACCTCGGAAACAATGCTAACGTTAGCTAGTTAGCTCCACTTTTTCCACGTCAACACAACAGCTAGCCTGTGCGCTAGGTAGCATGCTAACATCCAAGCCTGCTAGTTAGCTATACTAAAGCCCTCATTACTAATGCAAGACATTAGCCAACACAAATTAAATTTTTCAGAAAGCAGTTACACCAAAAAATTGAATTTCATAGTTACCAGTGATGCCCCCTCCTTTGCCATGGCCCTTTCTCCGCTGGAGAATGAAGAAGGGGTTCGCCCTTTCGCTCACCCACAGAGCGTTAGCAAGCAACACCTCCTCCGGAGTTATCCACATTTTGAATTACCTTTTTCCAAATGACGCACTTATTAGGCTGCACCGTGTACGTTAACAGACTTTACACAGGCCTGTTTTGCAGACGTGTTGCCTGCTGTTTTGAGTTCATGTCCACAGGCAGTCCGTCTGCGCAGCTGTCTGCTCTGTTGTGTCTCCGAAACTGGTCGCTTCCTACATGCTCGAAAACACGCCCACTGTACGTTGCGTCGCTGCATGACGTGATCACTGTCGCTGCAATAATTTTGATCAAAATGCACATCCCTGTAGGCCTACATAGATTACACGTTTAAAACAACTGGGAACTCGGAAAAAGTCAGTGATCTCCAGGTCGGAAAGTCGAAGCTCTAGAAACAGGTTGGATGACTGTTCCCAGTTGGAGCTTGTTATTTTCCGAGTTGTCAGTTGTTTTGAACGCTCAGAAGTCGGAGATTTCCGAGTTCCCAATTGTTGTTGTTGTTGTCGTTGCGGAAAGAGTACCACAGCATGAGTACCAATAAATACCAATAAAACCTAGCGTTCAAACAGGTAATTGGTTCCAATCGTTTTTCCACATTCATTTTTCCCATAGGGATTTTAGAAACACTTCAAATAAGGCCTGTGATTCATGTAGGCATACCCTGGCGTGACGTTTTGATAACTGTATAAATCGCTCTAGGACAAGGTGACTTTTATCAATATATTCGCCTGTGTTTACCCCCCCCCCCCCCCCCCCAAAAAAAAGGAAATGCTAATTAGCTTCTAATGTGGCAATCAAAAAGAATCAAATCAAATCAAATCACATTTTATTTGCCACATGCGTCGAATACAACAGGTGTAGACATTACAGTGAAATGCGTACTTACAAGCCCTTAACCAACAATTTATTTTGTAAAGCGTAAAAGAGGGGGTCGGGTGGGGGGGGGGGGGGGGGGGGGGGAGTGCAAATAGTCCGGGTAGCCATGATTAGCTGTTCAGGAGTCTTATTATTATTATTATTATTATTATTATTATTATTTATTTTTTTCACCTTTATTTAACCAGGTAAGCCAGTTGAGAACAGGTTCTCATTTACAACTGCGACCTGGCCAAGATAAAGCAAAGCAGTGCAATAAAAACAACACAGAGTTACATATGGGGTAAAAAACATAAAGTCAAAAATACAACAGAAAATATATATACAGTGTGTGCAAATGTAGCAAGTTATGGAGGTAAGGCAATAAATAGGCTATAGTGCAGAATAATTACAATAGTATTAACACTGGAATGCTAGATGTGCGAGAGATTATGTGCAAATAGAGATACTGGGGTGCAAAAGAGCAAAATAAATAACAATATAGGGATGAGGTAGTTGGGTGGGCTAATTTCAGATGGGCTGTGTACAGGTGCAGTGATCGGTAAGGTGCTCTGACAACTGATGCTTAAAGTTATTGAGGGAGATAAGAGTCTCCAGCTTCAGAGATTTTTGCAATTCGTTCCAGTCATTGGCAGCAGAGAACTGGAAGGAATGGCGGCCAAAGGAGGTGTTGGCTTTGGGAATGACCAGTGAGATATACCTGCTGGAGCGCAGACTACGGGTGGGTGCTGCTATGGTGACCAATGAGCTAAGATAAGGCGGGGATTTGCCTAGCAGTGATTTATAGATGGCCTGGAGCCAGTGGGTTTGACGACGAACATGTAGTGAGGACCAGCCAACAAGAGCGTACAGGTCACAGTGGTGGGTAGTGTATGGGGCTTTGGAGACAAAACGGATGGCACTGTGATAGACTACATCCAATTTGCTGAGTAGAGTGTTGGAGGCTATTTTGTAAATGACATCGCCGAAGTCAAGGATCGGTAGGATAGTCAGTTTTACGAGGGCATGTTTGGCAGCATGAGTGAAGGAGGCTTTGTTGCGAAATAGGAAGCCGATTCTAGATTTAACTTTGGATTGGAGATTCTTTATGTGAGTCTGGAAGTTGAGTTTACAGTCTAACCAGACACCTAGGTATTTGTAGTTGTCCACATACTCTAGGTCAGACCCGTCGAGAGTGGTGATTCTAGTCGGGTGGGCGGGTGCCAGCAGCGTTCGATTGAAAAGCATGCATTTAGTTTTACTAGTGTTTAAGAGCAGTTGGAGGCTACTGAAGGATTGTTGTATGGCATTGAAGCTCGTTTGGAGGTTTGTTAACACAGTGTCCAATGAAGGGCCAGATGTATACAAAATGGTGTCGTCTGCGTAGAGGTGGATCTGAGAGTCACCAGCAGCAAGAGCGACATCATTGATATACACGGAGAAAAGTGTCGGCCCAAGAATTGAACCCTGTGGCACCCCCATAGAGACTGCCATAGGTCCAGACAACAGGCCCTCCGATTTGACACACTGAACTCTATCTGAGAAGTAGTTGGTGAACCAGGCGAGGCAGTCATTTGAGAAACCAAGGCTATTTAGTCTGCCAATAAGAATGCGGTGGTTGACAGAGTCGAAAGCCTTGGCCAGGTCGATGAAGACGGCTGCACAGTACTGTCTATTATCAATCGCGGTTATAATATTGTTTAGGACCTTGAGCGTGGCTGAAGTGCACCCATGACCAGCTCGGAAACCGGATTGCATAGCGGAGAAGGTACGGTGGTATTCGAAATGGTCGGTGATCTGTTTGTTAACTTGGCTTTCAAATACTTTCGAAAGGCAGGGCAGGATGGATATAGGTCTGTAGCAGTTTGGATCTAGAGTGTCACCCCCTTTGAAGAGGGGGATGACCGCGGCAGCTTTCCAATCTCTGGGGATCTCAGACGTTATGAAAGAGAGGTTGAACAGACTAGTAATAGGGGTTGCGACAATTTCGGCGGCTAGTTTTAGAAAGAAAGGGTCCAGATTGTCTAGCCCAGCTGATTTGTAGGGGTCCAGATTTTGCAGCGCTTTCAAAACATCAGCTGTCTGAATTTGTGTGAAGGAGAAGCGGGGGGGGCATGGGCAAGTTGCAGCAGAGGGTGCAGAGTTGGTGGCCGGGTTAGTGGTAGCCAGATGGAAAGCATGGCCAGCTGTAGCAAAATGCTTGTTGAAATTCTCGATTATTGTAGATTTATCGGTGGTGATAGTGTTTCCTAGCCTCAGTGCAGTGGGCAGCTGGGAGGAAGTGCTCTTATTCTCCATGGACTTTACAGTGTCCCAAAACTTTTTGGAGTTAGTGCTACAGGATGCAAATTTCTGTTTGAAAAAGTTAGCCTTTGCTTTCCTGACTGCTTGTGTATATTGGTTCCTAACTTCCCTGAAAAGTTGCATATCGCGGGGGCTATTTGATGCTAATGCTGTACGCCACAGGATGTTTTTGTGCTGGTCAAGGGCAGTCAAGTCTGAGGAGAACCAGGGGCTATATCGGTTCTTAGTTCTGTATTTTTTGAATGGGGCATGTTTATTTAAGATTGAGAGGAAATTACTTTTAAGGAACAACCAGGCATCCTCTACTGACGGAATGAGATCTATATCCATCCAGGATACCTGGGCCAGGTCAATTAGGAAGGCCTGCTCGCTAAAGTGTTTTAGGGAGCGTTTGACAGTGATGAGGGGTGGTCGTTTGACCGCGGACCCGTTACGGACGCAGGCAATAAGGCAGTGATCGCTGAGATCCTGGTTGAAGACAGCTGAGGTGTATTTAGAGGGTATGTTAGTCAGGATGATATCTATGAGGGTACCCATGTTTACGGATTTAGGGTTGTACCTGGTAGGTTCGTTGATAATTTGCGTGAGGTTGAGGGCATCTAGCTTGGATTGCAGGATGGCTGGGGTATTAAGCATATCCCAATTTAGGTCACCAAGCAGTACAAACTCTGAGGATAAATGGGGGGCAATCAATTCACATATGGTGTCCAGGGCACAGCTGGGGGCTGAGGGGGGTCTGTAGCAAGCGGCAACAGTGAGAGACTTATTTCTGGAAAGGTGGATTTTTAGAAGTAGAAGCTCAAACTGTTTGGGCACAGACCTGGATAGTATGATAGAGCTCTGCAGGCTATCTCTACAGTAGATTGCAACTCCACCCCCTTTGGCAGTTCTATCTAGACGGAAAATGTTATAGTTGGGGATGGAAATTTCAGAATTTTTGGTGGCCTTCCTGAGCCAGGATTCAGACACTGCTAGAACATCAGGGTTGGGGATAGAAGCTGTTACCTTTTGGACCTAGACTTGACCTAGAACAGTCTATGACTAGGGTGGCTGGAGTCTTTGGCAATTTTTAGGGCCTTCCTCTGACACCGCCTGGTCTAGAGGTCCTCGATGGCAGGAAGCTTGGCCCCAGTGATGTACTGGGCCGTGCGCACTACCCTCTGTAGTGCCTTGTGGTCAGAGGCCGAGCAGTTGCCATACCAGGTGGTGATGCAACCAGTCAGGATGCTCTCGATGGTGCAGCTGTAGAACTTTTTGAGGATCTGAGGACCCATGCCGAATCTTTTCAGTCTCCTGAGGGGGAATAGGCTTTGTCGTGCCCTCTTCACGACTGTCTTGGTGTGTTTGGACCATGATAGTTCGTTGGTGATGTGGACACCAAGGAACTTGAAGCTCTCAACCTGTTCCACTACAGCCCTGTCGATGAGAATGGGGGCGTGCTCAGTCCTATTTTTTTTCCTGTAGTCCACAATCATCTCCTTTGTCTTGATCACGTTGAGGGAGAGGATGTTGTCCTGGCACCACACGGCCAGGTCTCTGACCTCCTCCCTATAGGCTGTCTCATCGTTGTCGGTGATCAGGCCTACCACTGTTGTGTCGTCAGCAAACTTAATGATGGTGTTGGAGTCGTGCCTGGCCATGCGGTCATGAGTGAACAGGGAGTACAGGAGGGGACTGAGCACACACCCCTGAGGGGCCCCCGTGTTGAGGATCAGCGTGGCAGATGTGTTGTTACCTACCCTTACCACCTGGGGACGGCCCATCAGGAAGTCCAGGATCCAGTTGCAGAGGGAGGTGTTTAGTCCCAGGATCCTTAGCTTAGTGATGAGCTTTGAGGGCACTATGGTGTTGAATGCTGAGCTGTAGTCAATGAACAGCATTCCCACGTAGGTGTTCCTCTTGTCCAGGTGGGAAAGGGCAGTGTGGAGTGCAATAGAGATTGCATCATCTGTGGATTGTTGTGGAAAATAACCACTATACTTTATTAGAAATCAGTCCTTCCAGAGTGTTTGTGGGATCAATAATGACTTTATTATAATGTCAACAAAGCCAGGCCAATCTGCAGATTTGCCCGCCATCTCTCCCTCCCTCCTACC